AAAGCGCTAAAGGCTTTCGTTAGTTAATACTCTTGCAAAAAATTGTAAGAGGTTGTGAAACAAGCTTTGAAAGTTATAAGTTTTCATAGCTCAAAAGTAGCGTGCCGATCTTTCTTCTTCTATTCCCCTTTGAACCTATTTACAAGCTGCGTTGATAAGATAGCGAATTTGTACACGAACCTTCTAACTACGGTTACTGCCAAAATATACAAATGACGTTTTCGTACATACTTCTGCTCAATTCACCGCAAAACGTAAAAGAAAGAAAAACTCCGATGTGTATCTTGGTAAATTAACGGATTTTTTGATACCAAAATCAAATTCAAATAAAGCTGCAGAAATGACAGTGCCCGACGGCCGAATTGAGCTGAAATTGACGGTGAAAGCCGAGGGGAAAAGCCCCTACCCCGGGAGAATGGAGGGGCATTTTCAAACAGCTGGCGGGCTGGGGGCATTTGAAACGAGCCCTCCGGGGGGCAGTCAGGGTCAGACCGAGCGCTTTTCCGAACGAGTCGATAGCCGATCCGCGGTGGTCTAGCCTCCAATGGAACAGCCAGGGATTTTAGAGCTTGAAAACCTATTTTTTTTTTTTTGAGGCCTGTGGAAGGCAAATTTTTGGAAAGCAATGGGCTTGGTAACGGCAAACACACCAAAATTGAAATTTCAAAAAAGTACGTACGTAATGTACGTAAACAAGAATACAAAAAAGCGTCTCAGCACTTCCGGTCCTAAAGGGAAGCGCTTACGCAATGTATCTACTTGCGATTCAAAAAAAAAGTTAAAAATCGTTCAATATGTTACAAAAATTCATAGGCGCCATCGCGATTTCTTAGAAGCATTTTAACGAAAATAGAAAAGCTTGGGCATTAGGACTTTGTTAAAAATTAAATATAGAAACATCCGTGATTCACAAAACAAAGTTCGCAGTATTTTAGGTGTTTTCTCATTTCACGGGTTGGACGCTCATTAATGCGTGTAAAAGACGGAAGAAGAAAGAAAAATACGACTACAAAGTAGCAAACTTCAACGCAGGAGATAAACCAAACCGAAAAAGCTACAAAAGCTACAAAATCCGCACTACAAATTACAATAATAAACTCAGCGATCAAGAAATACGTTAACCATGTTGGCACCGATCCAACTGAACCTATCCACCGTCAATAGGCGCTCAGCGGAGCTAAACCCCGGAAAAAACCTGGGCAAGAGGCAACGAAACGAACAGGGTATAGAGGCCGGGCGGGAGGAGGGTGGTCGTGTTTTTTGAGGGTGAAACTCACGGCGGGAGGGGGACGCGCTGTCCATCGGTCTGTCCGTGTGTGTCTCTCTCTCTTTGTCCATCTCTCTCTGTCTGTCATTCTCTATGTCTGTTCGTGTGTCTGTTCGTGGTATCTGTCCGTCTCCCCCATCAACCCCATCCCCCAGTCTCCTCTACAGCCTGTTGACCCCGGCCTCTTCCCTGGCCCCCTTTCCCCCCAAGAGTGACAGTAACCGCTCCGGGGCACCCAATAGCCCCCCACGCAACAAGTGATGGCCGCAGGGATTTGATGGGGTAATCGGTTCGGGTTAGCGGTTCTTAGAGGCAATTAGGAAATGTTTCACGCTTGTAATAATTCACATAACTATCCTTTCATTGTGGGCGCTTCTTTCGCATTAATTGGGGGAGTAGTCGAATTTTTTTCTTAGATGCCCAGAAATGCCTGGTATCTAATACTGTATTTAATTTTTTTTACTAAAATCTAACGCTATTTCGACTGGGAAAACATTTAAAAGAGCTGAAAAAAGTTTTGATTCGAAATTTGGTCAAACAACTGCATTACCATTTCTTGGTAAAAAAAAAAATCGATATTTTGGGTTTTTAAATGAAAATATGTATTTTTTTACGTTAAAACTCCCTTTAGAGACGATCAAAATAAGGTATGAAGAAAAATAAATTCTGACTCTTAAACCCCTGAAAAAGAGCTTTTCTTTTAGCAAATTTGGGTATTGCTCTGGAATTTTTAAAAATCGTAGCGACAAAAGTAATCAAAGGAATCCGAAAATGCGCAAAACGCAGGGCTACAATGGAAAAACAGTATCGCCTTGTTTTACGACTTTTTTACTACCGAAATCCCGGCCAAAGTAGCCCGGCGTACGCTAGCAATCTTGCTCCTTCTCGGTTGGTCGGCCGGCTTGATGGGGTCACCCCAGAAACGAAAACGAGACAAGCCACTTGCCGTTACAGTCAGATTTCGGCGCGATAATCGGTGAGGCGGGCGGCTGACGAATTACGACGCGGAACTGGACGCGCGCAACGGCCGAGATTGACCTCCAGAAAAAAAGCTCTTGTTCTCTCAAGCGTTACTCTCGTTAAAGGGATTGTTTTGGCCTGAAAGGAGCGGTATTGAAGGGATTGTCAAGTGGCGAAATCGCCAGAACTACGAATTACGTCAAAAGGCCTGACACAGGTCGTTCTGATTACTAATGGTTGGCTGATTTTCGAGCCAAAATCCTTAATGAATTGCACCGGCTTGTGAGGTCTTTCGTATTTGTCGATGTCCAGGGGTGAAGGGGCCGACTACTTCACGTCACACGCCATTAAAAAGACTATGTTTTAAGGGGAGCAAATCAAACGGTTCACAACTCATCAAGAAAAACGAATTGCGTGGCTGTCTATACCTAGTCCACAAAAGGGGTAGATTTCTCTAACTTCATAGTTTCTTTAAAAGCATCAGGAAATATGTCTGTAATTTATTAAAATGTGTGATTTGACAACTTGAGTAATCTCTCAAAAAAAAACGAATTTTTGGTCACCAACTGCTTTTGACAAGCTCATCTCTCTCCCAACTCTCTCTCGCTCTCTCTCTCTCGCTCGCACGCTCTCTCTCGCTCCCCCTCTCCCTCTCTTTCTCTCTCTCGCTCTCTCTCTCTCTCTCTCTCTCTCTTTCTCGCTCCCCCTCTCTCTAATTCTCTTTTCCTCGATTTTTGGCCACTCTGACAATATCTTAAAAAAAATTTTTAGACGTAGGCGGAATCGGAAATTGGGCAAAAAAGGGGCAATGGCGGAAAAATAATCGCCTGTTGCTGGCATATTCCAAAAGGGGTCCCGCAGCGGGCCGGGCCGGCCTTACACGGAAAATAATGGAATTCGTTGGAATGACCGGGCAATGGCGAGGGCAGATACTGGAGACGCTGAAAACAAGAAGAAGAGGAGGAGGAGGTCGGAGACCTCCTTCTCCCCATTTTTCGGGCCCGCTTTTTTGTGTCTATTTCAGCCCTGGCCGAATTTCATTTCCAGCCCAAGAAACAGAAGCAGTAGCAGGAGGAGCAGATCCCACACGAAACAACGCGCACGATGGGCTATGAATATTGGATGCAAGATGGCTGCAATTTTCGGATATATTGGAGTCCGAATCTTCCTTTGGTTGTCAATTGGATAGTACTGGAATTTTTGAATGAGAATTATGCGAAGGTTACAGAGAAGGGCATCACCTGAGCAGGAGCAAACGAGTAGAGATCCTTTGGGAATCTGTAAGATAGGACGGCAACAACAGAGAAGATTAGAAAAACGAATTGAAAAGAGAGAGAGAGAGAGAGAGAGAGAGAGAGAGAGAGAGTGAGTGAGAGAGCGAGATCGAGAAAGAGCTAGACTTGAAATGCAAACCGGATCTATATTTTTATAATGCAGCGGCCTGTTAAATGCTGTTTCTTGTTATATTTTCCGCAATTCCAGGCCTATATATCTTATTTCTCGATTATTTACCGTAGCCACCACCCCTCAAATTGTGGGTTCCTATCGTATTCGTCTAACCGAAAATTGGTTCCGCCCGAAGAAAAATGAGCCTCAAGAATCCGGGGGATATAGGCAAAGGGATGTGTTCACCCAGGCGAACGTCCAATTATTCCCCCCTAGCCGGCAGATTGGAAATTATATGGCCCGGCTTGGCAAAGACAAATAGCTTGCGGCGTGGTGTAGGTGGGCGATTTTTCACTCTGTTTTTAGCTGGGAATTTGTGAGATAAATCAAGCCGAATCCAAATGACCTGTTTGCTTGAGAAATTGCTTTAATTCAGCTCTCTGAATTGCACATGGCCTAGACAAAATTCGTATTTTCGGATGGGGGATACGATAGTCTGGAAGATCCCCATCTTGCTGCAGATCTCTCGCTTCGATGTGTCTTTAAAGGGGCCGGAAGCACTATCGATGATACACCGACAACTACACTACACGCCAAAGTCCGTTTAGTATGGTATCAGGCTTCGTACCTTAATGCTCTAAAAGGCTATCTTGCTCTCTCTCTCTCGCGCTCTCTCGCTATCTCTAGCTCTGTCTCTCTCTCTGTCGCTCTTTCTCTGTCTCGCTCGCTCTATCTCTCTTTCTCTCTCTCGGGCTAGCTGTCGAGATCTAGCCGGTAAGAGGGGTCCAATTTTGCGTTTCTTCAGTTCGTAATGTGCTTGTTTTCATGGACGTTCCGATTTCTTTGATAATACCGAACTAAACCGCTTTGATAATACCGATTCGGAACTAAATTCCATCAAAAACCATCAAAACTTTATTAAAATATACTATTCAAACAGCACCAAAGTCACAGCGAGCCCTGCAAGCAGGGAAGAACGGGAGAGAAGAAGTATTACAAAACATCAGCTGATCCCAACCGGCTACAAAAAACCGAGAAATCTGGTAGTTTATATAAAGAGGTTTCAAAATTTCCTAATTAGTGGTTTTTTGCAGGGCAAGGTGGTGGCGAACCAGGGCATAAAAAGCTTAAATTTTGCCGTCTAAAAATCCGGGCAGTTTCTGTCATTTGTAGTAGTTTGTAGTCTACAGTCCGCTAGCGCACTTTGTACGGTAGATTTGGAAATGAGGATGAAATAGGAATACTAAAACATTGGGCGCTTTGAAAGCGTACACGTTTTGCGCTATTGGGATGTGGATTTGGGGGAAAATTTCAAAGATTATTTAGGGCGAGAGAGTGAAGAGAGTGGGGAGAAATTAGAGAAAATCCTTAAAAAACTTTAAATTCATGATCTCAAGCGCTCGAGCAGGTTCTTCCCCTTGTACGGCTTGATCTCGGTGTAGTAGGAGAGGAGGAAGTCCTTCAGCTGCTCGTAATTCGGCTTGTCCTCCGTGATGCAGTTGGGACACAAGAAGGTTGCTGGGAATTTGTACCTGAAAATGATTTTTAAAGTACGTTTCGCTAATTTGACAATTTTTACGCAAAGCTAAATAAAACTATGCAGTTTTTAGGAAATTTTACGCACTTTTCAGGGTTTTAAAGGCCGCGAGAAGGGAAAAAGTTGATTAGTTACTATAGATTTTTGACGACCGCCACTAGAGTCGATCCGAAAAACATTGCAAAGAGGTTGATTTTTTAGGATTTTAAATCAATTTCCGGCTGGTTACTGTAATCTCAGTCAGTTTTTTCCGAAGTTCGTCGAAGCCGAACTGATTTTTGGCTTCCTTCTTCCCTTAAAATGTCAATGTATAGCTTTTAAAGGCATACTTCCACCAAGAAACACAGCTTTTCCCGTTACGGGACCCGCTTACACGAAAAAAAAACAACGGTTTCAGATAATTTTCGTCAAATGCAAGAAGCTCCGAAACATTAATCTGGCTTTTTGCTAAGTGTCGAGAAAATTTTTTAGAGGATGATGCTTTCCAGTTCCTTTAAAGACTAGATTCTTTTCAGGTGGAAGAGGTTTTTTACACGCCTAGGTTTGTCTCAACCCACTTTGGATACTTGGGATCTTCCGTATCCCTTCCGGACAGCCGCTTGTTCACCCGATTGTGTGCCTCCCACAAGTAGAAGAACACGTCTTCACGGTTTTTCACCTGAACAGGGTATCATAAATACACAAAGTAATGTTATACATTCTCCTCAATCTTGAACGTCTTGGTGGTCATCTTCAAGAAGTGGTCCCGGCAGTGGAGACATCCAAAGAAGTTGCCCACCCAATCCCGGATCGAGTGAAGAATGGGAAGAGGGTGGAAGTCGGCACCTTGAACGATGGAAATTTATACTTTAAAGGACCATTAAGTCCAGGGATAAGCTTAGAATCGAAGCAGAAGCCTACTGTTAGCACCCTGCCTATATGCGGCAATAGTAAGGGTGTGGAACGTCGTCCAGAGTCCACAGGTGTAGCCGCGGAACTGCGGGGTCGACCCCTTGCAGTGGTCCCACTCGGCGGATGTTGGGAATGGGTTGCCGGCTTCTGCCTGAAAACGGGTCGGTTTTTTATGGAAATCGACCCCTGTCATCGGCTAGGTCGCGACAAGTGCGCTTGGCAGTGCAAGCGGTGAAAAAGGTTTAGATTTTTAAGGTATCGTCTTCGAAATTGGGTCTTTACGGGCTATCGTCTTTCAAAGCCGATATCACGACGTAAAAACGCCGGATCAGAACAGTTTTTACATCATTAGAAAACTTTGAAAACGCTTCGTTTTTCAGCATCATCAACATCTTGGTTTTTCATGATTTTTTGAGGCTTAAAAATTACGCAAGGTCAGACTTGCAATTATGCAAAAAAGCAAATTTTACATAGAAATTTACATAGACTTCCGGTCACTAATTTTTGCAATAAAAAATTCATTCATACCCACCTCCGCATCCAAGAACTCCTTCTGCCAATCGTCGATCGGAATCACGTGATCAAGCCCGCGAGTCTCCAAGAATTCCCGCATCCGCATGAGACGCCGCACGGCACGAGTCGAGCGATCAAGCGTGCTCTGAAAGATAGGTGATGCTCAAATTCCTGAAGCAGTCCAAGACCTCGAAACTACGAACTACAACTTCTTGACGTTCCTACCTCAAAATTCAAGCCCACCTCATTGTGTCCACCATCCGGGCTGGTGGTGGTTGGGAAATGGTCGGAGAGGGCGTTCAGAAATTGGTAGAGGGCTGTCAGGTTCTGGCCCTGGAGTGGGGTGCCGTTTCTGGCTGTCTCTCGGAACAAGGCGTAGCGCATCGCCTTCAGCATGTCTACCTCAGAAACGTAATAGAGAGGACGGCATCTGAAAGGTGAGCATGAGCTCGAGGTCGGTTTTGCGATTTTTTATGGCCGAAAGGCTAAGAAACAGAACGAGTCAGCACGACTCATCGTGGGTCATCGAGCAAGAGAGAGACACAGAGAGAGAGAGAGAGAGAGCGGGAGAGAGAGAGAGCGAGAGAGAGAAAGAGATAGAGAAATCGCAAAAAAAATTACGTACTCTGCCGGATTCTCCTCGCACTGCGCCGTTCGGTTTGGTCTCCTGCTATGCATCTGGATGATGGAGTTCGAGATCGACTTTGTCGGGGTGCCCAAAAATTCTTCGACTTCATTCATCAGCATACGACGAATCCTGAAAACCACGATTTCAACGAGTACAGCTGCAAACAGAAGTGCGAGTTTCTAAGAAAAGGTGCCAGCTTCAAAACCTCGGAATTATCCGTGAAATTTTAAATTTAACATTTACATCTAACATTTTGTCTACGGCTATCAACTATAATAAAAAAGTTGTGGTGTCTGTCTGTCTGTCTGAAGCCGAATTCAACTCGAAGGGGAAAGGAGCTAGAGCTTAGCTCTCTTCGGATTCGGATAGAGCGTGCTCAGAAACCCCCAAACTGATAAAACAATTACGAAAAAGTTTTAGTTTAAATTATTAAAATTAACTTTGACAGTTTTTTCCCTACAAGGAGACGTTTTTGAGTGTCGTCGGAACTTGGGCATGGTACCAAGCCTATCTTGTGCAGAATTTTACGCTGATTCCGAATATGGTAACCGTTTTTGCGGAATAGCCATTTCTCGAAAGTTATGAACGATTTAAACCTCAAAACAGCCCAAAATCGGCTACTTCCCATAGTCATAAAAGGCTCCGGAATAAGTTTTAGATAAAACCAGATAGTGCATCTTGTTCAGAAAAAAATTCTCTATAAAATAAGCTACTTAACTAAAAAATGTTGGAATTTTGAAAAATTTTGTAAAATTAGGGGCATCTAAATCAATCAAATTTTTTCTAACTTTTCAATGATTTTGGGAGAAGATGGTACATTTTATGGAGAATTTTTTTCTGAACAAGATGTACTATCTGGTTTTGTCTAAAACCTATTCCGAAGCCTTTTATGACTATCGGAAGTAGCCGATTTTGGGCTGTTTTGAGGTTTAAATCGCTCGTAACTTTCGAGAAATCGCTATTCCGCAAAAACGGCTACCATATTCGGAATCAGCGTAAAATCCTGGCACAAGATAGGCTTAGTCCCATGCCAAAGTCCCGACGACACTCAAAAACGTCTCCTTGTTAGTAAAAGGGTGGGGGGACGGAGGTTGGGGTGATTTTGGACATAGTGAGCCAGGTCGCGCGCGTTTCGTGGATGAAAATTTTCACGGGGGATTTCATTTCTTTTTTCTCATTCCATCCGGACGGTCGTTATTTTTGTTTTTTAAGGGGATTTCAGCCATGGGGTGTATCTGAAGCCATCAGGAAGGTATTTAGGTAGTTTTTGAAGGGGATTTCAGCCGTTGGGGGTATCTGAAGCCATCAGGAAGGTATTTAGGTAGTTTTTGAAGTGGATTTCGGCGATGGGGGGCGGGTTGATGGAGGTGGGAAAAGATGTGGTGGAGCGGGGCAAGTAGGGTAGCCCGAAGGCCAGATGGTTGCAGTCGCGAAGCGACTGTAACCATCTGGTTTAGGATACAACTACTAAAATAAGCTGGAAGGCTCAGAAACTCACTCCGAAACATGGATCGGCTGCGTCTCGCCCCGCTTGAAAATGGCAATCGAGGGGAAGTCGGTGAGGTGGAGCTTCTCGACAAGCGGATTCGTTTTCAACGATCTCCTAGCTACCAGACGATCTCTCTGCTTTGACAGATCGAGCAACAGCTGGAAGTAGAGATTGAAAATTGTCGAATTCAATAAAAAATACCTGTGCCCCAGTCAAGCTGGTCTGGTGGCTCTCAAAAATGATAGCCAAGAACTGGGCGGTCGTGTCGATGCCGTCCCAAAGGTGGCCGTAGGTTACGATGCTAAAAAAGTAGTTTAATTTTTTTCATGTAGCGAGCAAGGTCATATAGGGAATTATCGAAAGAATAGCTAATTAAATGCCAAATCTTACTCATTCATGAAGTCGAAATCTGGCCAGTCCGGGAAGCGGTTGACGGAGAAGTCGTCGATCACGACCTGAAAAATTGATTTAGTGCTTTTAAATATATTCTTAGACAAATTTAATTAAAAAATACTATAAAGAAACACTTTCCAAGCTGTAAAAATAAAAAAAAAGACGTATTTTAAAATTTTTCTTAAATTTGGCGGGTTTCGTAAATAGAAAGGTTTAGATACGGCATTCCGAAGCCAATAAAATTTTTTTTACGGTATCGTTATGTATCGTTAGACATAATCTAAGGCCCTAAACCGTATTTTAATGCTCGATACCTTTGTCAATTGATCCCGCATCTCGGCCAACGATTGGTAGGCCTTCAGCTTGTTCCCGTCGAAGGCTTGCGTCGAGTTCTTCGGAAAGTACTAAAAAATTCAATTTTCGAGTTTACATACGAGGATTTTTTAAAAATGTCTTGTTAATGATAACAGAAAGACGTCTCGGTTTTTTAAAACTAGAGCCATGCCACTGCTAAATACGTGTATCGGGTCCGGCTCCTTTGACAGAACGAAATCGCTCAGCCGTTCGCCCGTATTTCTACCGTAGTACTGGAAGTATAAAGAGTTCTGTAGACGAATTTCGGATCTTTGCATTTTCAACCTCGACAATGATGAATTTTTACATACATTTGGGTTAGAATCGTTTTGATAGCTATTGAAAATCTGGAAGAGTTTTCGAAGCCTTGTGTCTCCCCAAGAGGCCTTGGGTTTAAAGGACCCTGGAAGGCGGTAAAATCCTATATTTCCTACCGTACCTTGATAAAAGGGAAATACTGGACGCCATTCGCCCGACAAGTCGCTTCATTCACTTGATCGGCGCAGTTGATGGCAGCGATTTTCACGACCGGGGACCAGCCCTTCACATCATCGGCAAGACGTTTGTATAGCGGGGCAAAAGCTGGAAAAAAACGATAAGTTGCTCAAAAAATCCCGAAAATCCGCGAAAATCGAGAATACTTGAAAAACCAACCTCTGCAATGCCCACACCAGTCGGAGTAGAACTGAAAAACAATTTAAATTAGTGCGTTTTAGATAAAACGTGAAAATACGCCTTCTATCAATGCATTTTTCTATAAAATCCTAGCCGTTATGCCGACAACAAAAATGCCGACAATCAAAAGGCCGAAAATCGAAGTGCCGTGAAGCCAATAGACCGGAAAGCCAAGATGCCGACAAGTCAACATGCCGACAATACGATTTCCGACAATGTGAAATTTCGGCAACACGTGTTCCTGCCAGTCAGAATGTCGACTGAGTAAAATGCCGACATACAGAACGCCGCCGCCGAAAAATTTACTAATTAAAAATGGGTGCTGCCAGGCATTCCTTTGTCGGCATTTTTATTTGCCTTATTGAATGATCCCCGTTCAATAGGTCCAAAAGTTTTGATTACCCTTGAAATTTCCGATTTACGGTAAACGCTTCTCCCCAAATTCCGTACTTCCGTAAAACATTTGCACGCGTAAATTCCACAAGACTACGCGCGGGGCCACGTCACCCGGGCACCCCCAGGCGGGGTCCGTGCAACGCTCTTGACATGGTCAAATAATCCGCGCAAAAAGCCGACAGAAATCAGGAAGCACCTACGACGTGTGTCCGAGCGGACTGCTGTGGAATTTTTCGGGTAGCGCAGCGTAGTTTGGGGGTATTGATTAACGGGAGGGTGACAGAGGGAAATCAGGCAAAAATTAGACTGTTCGGATCCCTTCAAAGTTACTTGGGCTAGGCTAAATTCCAGAACATTTCTTTAAGGCATTGTAAAATTTTTTAACTAAATAAAATGTGAAAGTATCTAAATTCACATAAACCCACCTCAATTAAAAACCCGGTGCAATCGGGCCCCTGGCAATATACGGTATCGTTAAACGTGTTCTCATCCAGCTGAATAACATGGTCCTCCGGCGAGTATAGCGTCGGATTCTGACCCTGGGGTACGGTGGCATAATCGGCAATCTCGGCTAGCGCATACGGGGCAACGGCTAGCAATAACCTCAGGATCATCTGGAAAACAACATGTTACATGGGTATGGTTACAGTAATATCGGAGGGAACAAAAAATTCGGGTTGAAAAGTGCAAAAAATAGGCCCGAAATGGCCAGAAAATTTGCGAAAACAAGAAATGTTACAATCAGGTGATAGCAAAAAGTTGAGAGAGACAGAGAGCGAGAAAGAGAGAGAGGGAGAGAGAGAGAGAGAAGAAGAGAGACAGAGTAACGGCAAATTTTGCAGACGTAATGGAAAGGGAGAAACAGACCTACAGGGCAAGATAAAGAGACATCATGCAAGAGAGGGCGAGAGAAAGAGAGAGAGAGAGTGAGCAAGAGAGAGATAGCGTGAAAACGACATAGACAGTCAAAGATGACATGTTACCTAGATTTTATTGCAGACTAAGCCCGAGAAGGGGCGCGAAAGTGTGAATGCGAGAGTGAGCGAGCGAGAGAGGGAAACATAGGTAATCTTCCGACTTCAACATCCCTTTAAAAGAAACAGCTTGGAAGTGTGATTTTTGTGGCTTCTCCCCCCGATTTGTCGAGTGGACCGGCGGACTCGAGCCGTCCCCCCTCGGGGGACAAGATAGCGGGCTGGAACTGGGTTGATCGACCCTCCCTTCCTCTCAAACACCCTAAACCGCAACCCTTTTCAGTTCCTGTTCCTGTTGGGATGGATATCACCGGCGGAGACAACAAAAAACAGATTTCCGGTATCCTTGAAGCTTGGGGCTAATATCTCATCTATTGGGTGTGGCCGAGAACGGCGCAATGGTGCTAATGGGCTTCAAAGGTGGTGGTTTGAGCACTGCAAAATCTGGTTTAAAACGCGAGTGAAAGCGAAAACGGAAGCGTGGTGATGAACAAAGGAGGCCCCTCCGATAATGCATAAGTCCTTGTATTTTAAGCAGGATGTCGCTGATCCAGAATTGTAGCCCCGACACAGTAAGCGCGCGATCTAGGGTGGAGCTCAGGTTATCAGGAATTAAAAGATTTTCCCAGAAAATAATGAAAGGGTAGGTTTTCTGGGATCAGACGCCCAAGAACCAAGCCCTAAACTGTACTTAGGTGTAAGGCGGAACGAATCCCAGGCAAACCAGAACCGCCACGGAATCCTCAGGATCAGAAATACCACCCTGAGGGGGACAGAAACTGCTCAGGGACGGGTGCAAAAGCCGCCTTGCAAGTCAAAAACTGGAATAATAGGGGGAGGAGGGCACGGTATGGAAGGAGAAGGGTTCGGACTGGTTGCTGACAGAGAGAGTGATAGAACGAGTGAGAGCGAGAGCGAGAGAGAGAGAAATTGTTGTTTTCCTACCGCCTTCCCATGAAAGAAGGCCTGTGCATACCCAAACAAGAAGAACACCTCGACGGGGGTGAGGAGGAATGGGGTAAATGAAGATTCTCAAAAAGTCAGTGTCACGCTTTAGGGGCCCCTTAGAATTGCAGAATCGAGGGTTTTTCTCGGGGCAAAGAATGACCTGGAGTGACCAGTCGAAAACATTTACTTTTTCTCACGATTCCAAGAGGGACAGATTGTGTTTAGTGGTGGATTTGGGACTTTAAATTTTGTTTTCGGGCTCCAACAATAGCAAATTCAAATTCCTGGTGGGCTTTTACATCCAGAAACTTAAAACCCCAAAAATCTGGCCCGAAAAGCTACAGAAAAAGCTTGAATTCTGATTTTAGATGACAAAATCGTTCACTAGGTTGCTGCATTTTTTGCATTTTCTCGACAAAAGCGTTTTTTGCTTTTAATCTTTTGGAGCCAGAGAAAAGCGCATTTAACCGGACTCGACGATCCAGAATGTCCGAAAAAAAAACGGAAAAAATTAGGCGAGGCAACTCTCGTAGAGATCGTCATTTATTGCCCCCTAGTCCAACGCAAAAGGCCATGAACGAGTTGTCAAAATCAGCCGTTCTGCCCGGGGCGGAACAGCTGGAAAGGACAAATATTTTCCGGGATTGTTACCCGAAACACACAACAGGTGCCACTTGCCTGAGGCGCATCGCAAACCAAAAATTCGCAAAAACCGGACCCCAAAAAAACCCTTGAGGAATTTGAGTTTAAGCCGGAAATTCTCGGGGTCACTTTTAAGGAATTTTGAATTTTGTTTCGGTGTTCTTATTTCAGATATTCTGCAAAACTGGAGAGAGAGAGAGAGAGAGAGAGAGAGAGAGAGAGTTAGAGAGAGCCGTCTTGGTCCCTTTGGCGCTGCGTTCTGCTAGAGTACGCTCGACTTACAGTAAAATTGTCCAGCTCGAAGCGCTGAAGTAATTTTCAAGGGACTAGGAAACGTGGTTTGACCGCTTCAGCCGAGTAGGTATTGACAGCTACGGGCCGCTCCAAATGACGCATGCAACTCATTTGGATTCTCGAACAATCCGACGTTCCTAAGGCCATTCAAACCCAGAAGAAAGTCTTATATGGAGCAATAAGTATCTGTCAAGTCCTATTTAATCGAAGAGATCGATTTTTTCAGTGAATCCATGAAAATCAGATTAACAACCGGACGATTCACGAAAAAGCTAGAACTTTGTCCCAAAAACCGGACCCGGAAATGATACAGGCGATGTTGCTTCTGATGAGGGGCTGTGAAGCGGAATAAGTGAGGTGAGTGGGTTGGTGTGCGTGTGTGTGTTAGGGGATACGGATGTTTGTGGTGGTTGACGGGTCCGTTAACGGGACAGCTAGCTATGAAGGGGGAAAGATCCGGTCAGAGGGCCCACACCATTCCAGGGAAAAGCCGAGAAGAAGAAGGAGTCATCGGTTGTTCCCAGAGACAGACCACCCATAGAACAACCAGGGGGGGGGGGGGAACGGGGGTCGACGGAATGTTACGTGAAACCCCCCGACAAGTTCGTGAACTTTTTGGAAGCTGTTGCATTCCTAGGAATGGATGTGCGATGTCCTCAATTTTAAAGGAACCGGGGCGAGAAATGCAATTTTAGGACCCCTCGGTCTGGATTTTCCGGTGATTTTAAAGGGATTGCGACCGAGATTCTCCAAATTTTGAAAATTTAGTTTTTCCATATAAAGGCTGTGTTTAGAAGGGACAGTGTCTGCAAATTTGGCAAGTAGAAATTTTCACATTAATCAATATCGTTTTGCTTTTAAAGGTGACGCGGCGCTCAGAACTCTCACCTCTCTCTCACTTTCTCCTCTCTCCGCTCAGTGTCTCTCTCGCGCACCTTCGCTGTCCTTCGGCCTCTCTGTCTCTGTCTCTCACTCTCCATCCCTCTCTCCCTCTCTCTCTATCTCCCTCTCTCTGTCTCTTTCTCTCGTAATCGCACTCTTTCTCTCGCGCGCTCTATATCTTTCACCGCCTTAACCCTCACGATCTCACTCTGGCTCGCTCGCACTCTCTCACTGTCTCTCTATCTATACATCCCCTTTCCATCACGGTCTTTGTTTCTATCGTTACATGAAAAATGTGTAAATTGGCATAAAACGTAACTGTGGAAGTCGAACTGACTAGGGAAGTATCTGAACTTGCCATCGAACTTTGAGAACTCAGATATACCATTCGATACGCCGTGACAAGAGGATTCCAAATATGTAATAAAATCAACGGGAGCGCATAACAGTAAAAAGTTATGAGCATTTTAAGTTTTACATTGAATCCGCCGCCGCGAGAAGAGCCCCTCCCAGCGCACCCTGTTCATCGGTCTCGTGGCCTAGTGGTGTGCGCATGGGTCTCTGGTCTGTATGACTAGGGTTCGGATCCCCTCACGATTTTTATTTTTTGCTTTTTGACCAGTTCCTAATTTTTGGCATGTCCAAACTCGGGAATAAGTTTTTCTTGACTGTGTGGCCCCTGAAAAGCACTATTGATGATAAAATAACCTCCGGCAACAAAACCAGGATTGGACGCTCTCTATATCAAAGTTGGCAAAATCGTCGGAAACCGCCCTTTTAAGGCTCGGTGCGAATTCGAAGAATTTAATTTGTCAAAAATGGAACAGTACATCTTGATCAGCAGAAAATTCCCTTTTGAATGAGCTATCTTACCTGCGCTTTACGCCAAATTCTCGAAAAGTCTTTGGCTAGCTGGCCATACCCTACCCTTACACTGCATTCCAAAAATATTTTTGGCGGAAATTTTTGGCAGCCGTATGTAATATAGCTCATTTGAAAGAGCTTTCTTTGTTGAACAAGGAGCACTAATTAGTTTAGACTAAATTCCATTCCGCGGGATGATACAGGGTCTCAAAGATGCTGTTTTTCGTCATTTTGCCGACTTTGAAGCCTCATAACTTTTTACCGTTATGCGCTCCCGTTGATTTTATTACATATTTGGAATTCTCTTGTCACGGTGCGTCGAATCGTGTATCTGACTTCTCAAAGTTCGATGGCAAGTTCAGGTACTTCCCTAGTGAGGTTGAAGCAGCACTTCCAAAATCCAAAAGCACCCTTTAAAGGAAGTTGAGCCCAAAAATCGACCCGAATACTTGATCCCAAAGTGCCGACGAAAGGCAACGACGAGCCAAGCGAAAAAATCGTGCCGCCACCGCTGCCCGAGAGTCCCGGAAGGGGGCGTAATAAACAAAAATGTCTCCCCTCTCGGCTGCCTGGCCCAATTGAGCCAACGTCGCATAGGGCGAGGCCGACATAAACGAATCCAGTGGGGGCTATAAACTGACAGAAAACACAACCACACGCAGAGCCATCAAAAAGGATGGCGGGCACCAATCTGGTCTAGGGAAAGGGTACATTTTCGGGATTGGAAGGTGGCCGTTCGACTGGCTTGGAAGAGCTTGAGGGATTAATGAAAAACCTGAATTTTTCATTGATTTAATGAATGAGAGAGACGGCAGAGCGAGAGAGAGAGCGAGAGTGAGAACGAGTGCCGGCGCGAGAGATCGATTCCAAGCCCTATTTTGCGGCAAACCCATAACGCGACGCATACGCAACGCGTCGACGGTGCTTTGCAAAGCGCTACAAACATTTTGCACAGGCCAAGGGAAACATTTTGGTATTTACATGCTCAACTTCCGGCAGCATGGATCGATGTAAAAACTCTAAAAATCCCAGCCCCAAATCTAGGAACCCCAGGAAGTTTTTTGTGTTGTAATACGCACGACAAAACTGAGCGCGAAAAATACGTGGGAATACTGTGAACGCAAGTAGAACGGGGCTTAAAAGCGAAGGACCCTCCCTCCGAGGCCCGAGCACCACTTCAGGCACCAACTAGGCCCGCGCCAAAAAGTGAAAAGCGCGAAAAAAACGTGGGAACTCCTAAGTATATACATAACATGTTCGTGGTAAAAGTTTCACTTTCAAAAAGCTGTTCTGGGGCCCGAACAAAGTTACGCAAAAATCAGCTTCTTTTTGAACTTGAAAAGTACGTGATTTCCGATGTTATACGCACATTGTGAGTCACTGCCCCCTTTTGAAGAAACGGAAAACCTGAAAATAAGCCTATTTTGCAAAAAAATACTTTCGGGATCGCGCGTCGCGTCAATAGAGCCTAAAAGGAAACAACTTTTGTGTGTCACGACCATTGTTTCAGCCCCTTCTCTCACGTCCTATTTGCACATCGAATCATTTCGAACCTGTTCAAGAAGCACAGCAAGACGGACGGAGACAAACTGTAGACTTCATGGTAGCAGTGTTCCAGTGTTGAGAGGTGTATATGGTACTACTTGCACTTGGCGGTTTACCTTAGGATGTAAAAAGGGAAAGAAATTTTGGGTGTAAGAAGTACTTTTTCAACAAATTGATTTTTCTAAATTTACATTACATTTCTAAATTTGTCCTGCACTCTAAAGGGACCGGGAAAGCCGAAGTTTGCCTTAAAGGGGCCCCGAAATCTGGTCCACGGCCCCCGCGTTGATTCCTGGCAAATAGCCAGATGCGGCCGCAACGCGACCGCGACGCATGTTCTCTAGTCCCTGTTTGGAAGGGAAATCGCGTGAATTTCAAAATTCTGTCGGTATTTCTGTAATCCTCATCGAATTTTGATCCTTCTAGACTTTTTAATTATGAAAATTGATGAGAGAATGACCGAGATCGAGAGATTGGGTGCCTTACAAGGCATTACGACATGTAATCGCCGGCGCGCTCAAAAGGCGTTTTCGTCCCGAAAAGATTTCGGTTTTTCTCAAATATTTTGCGGTTTTTCGCAACGAAATCATTTTTCTGGCACTTTTCGGCGGCAATCCATTCGTTTTTTGGCCAGTAGGTTCAATCCTCGAACACGCGAATTTTGACTTCCGAGCCCCTTTAAGGGCCCAGATGGTTGAACGTAAAAATTTAAATGAGGTAACGTTGTTCGTAAATTTCGTAAGCACTTTTTTTAGAGCGCTTTAGGCACCATTCGGATAATTTCTGACTAATGAATTCAGTTTAAGACAATTTAAAGGGGCTTGTGCGACAGAAATGGACAACAACGTTTGACGCCAAAAAGGATGGTTTTACCCAAGATGTCACCTAGGTCTTCGGTTACGTATTTGTTAAAGCGTAAGTTAGGAAGAAGCCCAAGGTTAGGCTTAAAGGGAGGCCCAACCTTTTCGCGGCTCAAAAAGCAAAAATAATGCAGTGCGCGGGGGTCGAACCCGGGACGCCGGTTTTGTAGGCCTGGATGCTATCCATTAGGCCATAGTGGCAAGCCATTGGATGGGATGGGGACGCCAAAGAGGGAAAGGTGGCCGGTTTCTGTGCGGCATTGGGGGCCCATTACCGCACAAAATTCGTCATTTGTACTGCCCGGAATCCATAACTATATATTTGCCGCCCGAACCTTGGGTATCCCTTTAAAGTGCACGTTCAGGGAGGGGCCGTGTACTCGTGCCAACGTGTACACCCTATGGACGTAGGGGCCGCGCGCGCTGCCTGCCCGTGCCGTGGGAGGCAATTTCCCTGCTTTGCGGCGTGGGGCGGCCCTCACCCCCTCGCCAGGTTGTAGCTGTGGCTGACTGGTATGCATCCGCGCCTCCCGAGCGGGGGGCCCGTGTTCGACCCCCCGGCCGCGGCATAAAGCTTTGCCTTTTTTGCAAAAAAAAACGTCCCTGAACGTGTCCTTTAAGGGTAGGCGAAGCTACCCCTAAGGTCCAAGATTAAGCCCGGATAATTTTTAAAGGGATACGAACAGAAACTTAAGACTGCAGAGTGCTAACTCAAGCCAACGTCTTTAATGTAGAGCCAACCGCAAGAGTCAGATTTACACGCCATGTAATTCCAATCTACCGAAATTCACTTCCCAGTCGATTTAGGTGTTGTGCTCCTTTTTGCCGATATCCATTCCGGATCCTAGCTGTTTATCCGTGCAACCGTCTAGCTGATATGACGTCTTCTCCCAAATTCCCAACTATTTTCACTAAAGTACACATCAATCCAAATTACGCCCTCCCCGCCGGACCAGAAATCCATGGAAAATGCGGGTGACGGCGGGGTGGAGCCAATTTCTACTCAAGGTCGTCCCGTACCCCAGCCACCACATGTTTTTCTGTTTTTTCGTCGACTATCACCGAAATTTGTTGATCCGTTTCGAGGGCGGATCAGTTCCATCGTTTGTCTGAAGCGGTGTTGGTAGACTAGCATTTTCCATACCTTATTCAAAAGTCTCCATATTGTGTTTTATCTTATATCTTAGAAATCCTGGGCTATAAATCTAGGGCAGGAACTGTCTTTCCGGTTCCTCTAAAAAATCTAAGTATCTCTAAATAAATTGCGCTGTTGTTTCGGATAACTTTTGATTGTTTTAAGGTACCTTAAAACAAAACGAAAAATTTGAATTTTTGCCGATATATCCCCAGTTACTAAAAAATATTAACAGTACCGTATTGCGGCTCAAAATGCCTCAAAAACATTAATACCTTTTATATTGCGCGCAAAACCTATTGATTCAATTTTCCATATTTATTTTTTTAGGAAAAAATGGTCCAATTATGGCAAGTGGAGCGCCCGGAGCTGGCCTTCGACTATCAGAACCCGAAATACCGTGTATTTTGCAACATGGTCCATAGTAAGGTGAGGTTTTCTTAAATTGCTGATTTTTCCAAATAATTATAGCCCGCCTGCTTCCTCGTGTTGCTGATCTGCTTGAAGATGGCGGCCGTCTACTTGATTTCGCTGGTGAATGGGAACTATTGGTCGTTGGCGGTGAGTTTTTCGAGAGGTTAAGCTTAAGTTTAGGGTTCAGCTTCGTCTTAGGCTTAGGCTTAGGCCTATGCTTATGCTAAATGTAGGCTTAGGCTTAGGCTTAGAATCAGGCTTAGACTTAGGTTTAGGCTTAGGTTCAGGCTTAGGCTTACTTAAACTTTTCAGGTAATCCTACTGCCCATGCAACTCATTGCTGGCCTCATTCTCTTCATCGGTCTCAGAGCTGAGAAAGAGAGACCCCTCTTTGTCTTCCTGTTTCTTACGGTGATTTTTAAAGATTAGTAGATGGTGCATCAAGGAGAGGCAAGTTAGCAGGGATCCTTGAGGAAAGGCGTGAATTCCGATTTCCTGTAATTAAGCTGCGCCTGCGAAATATCGAAAATCACAACGCTCTTTTGGTTATGGCTCGCAATAATATGCAAAAATGCCTCTGACTTATACGAGCCAAAAATTTTACCATCTTCAGCTCCTCTTCATCGTTGTTCAACTCACACTCATCGTCCGTTATATTTGGGCGGCCATCGATGTCAATACCGAAATTGGATTCGGGCAGAGGATACGGTAATTCACAAATTGATTTTTAAAGACATCATTTTCAGCACGGAATTGCTCGAGCAACATGAGGATGGAGACGATTACCGTAAGATCACATCCAAATTATTGTTAATCTCAAATTTTTAGAACACCGCCGATCAGTTGCCATCATGCGCGCGTTGCTTGATACTTGGTTCTTGATTTGCTATTTGGTCAGCTTCTACATTGTTTACAAGTTGGTTTTTATTTGTGCTCGCTCTCTCGCTCACCCACTCGCCTCTCTCTCTCTCCCCCTCTCTCTCTCTTGCATGATGTCTCTATATCTTGCCCACTAGGTCTGTTTCTCCCTTTCCCTTACGTCTGGAAATTTTACGTTGCTCTGTCTCTCTTGTTCTCTCTCTCGTTCTCTCTCTCTCTTTCTCTCTTTCTCTCTCTCTCTCCCTCTCTCTCTCTCTCTCGCGCTCTCCATCTTTAATTCTCATATCTTCAGGTGCCGCAACTATTTCATGCATCTGAATGGAGCCAAGGTGGCCAAGCAAGGAACCGTCGAATACCATACACCACCCAACGGATCAGTTGCCTAAAGGATACATGTATAAAATGTAATAAGAATGCTATATAAATAATAAAAAACCTCCGGCTTTTGAAAAACATGAAAGATGAAAGAGCGGCTCGTTTTGCGTACCCACGCACCTGTCAAAAATCAGAAAATTAGACGTCACCGGGAATTATCACTAGTTACAGAATAAACATTCGGACAGACGAGAAGGTGCTATCAGTTTCCTGTTGATGATTCACGGGTCGTCTTATAAAGAGCACAAAATCAGGAGGACTGTCTCTCACTGTCAGCCCAATTTTTGTGGTTTTTGGGTTAACTATTGTGTTTAAGGCGCAGTTGCTTATTTCGCGTCCTGAAATACCGTGGTTCTGAAATTAAAAATCTATCAATACCACAACATTAAAATCCGTAGTAAAGTTTTTTCGTTTTTTAATGGATATTATTAAGCTATCGAACGCTCACAATTATTTTAAAAATCGAGGAGTCCCATCTATCTGCAGGAAAAGCCCCCACTTTGGCCATCCGATTGCACTTTCACACCCCACGAAAATTGGGGGCATCCGCGTCAAATTACGCACATTTGGACCCCCAGAGAAAACGCCGCTTTTGCATGCATCAACTATCGCAACTCCCAGAAGTAGCAATTTTTGTTTTTGCAGCGCTAATAAGTTATTTTTAATTCTAGCAACGTGGCATGAGATCGCTCTCTCTGTATCTCTCTCCCTGTCCCTCTCTGACACACACTCTCTCTCTCTCTCTCTCTCTATCTCTCTCTCTGTCGCTTTCTATCTCCATAACTAAGAGACTATAACATAGGCAATAAAACCGTCGTTAGCTAGAGGTTTGCCAATTGATAAGCCTTGGCCCCAAATAGCCCACAAAAGCGTGAAGGCGGCCACTTTTTTGTCCAGGTCACGCCTTTTTTGATTTTTGATCCGATAATTATACTTCATAGCAAAATTTCCACGTTTTCAAACAATAATATTATCGCTGGCCTTGCCGAAAAAATGGAAATGGTATGCAAAAACGCTACAGGATAGGTAGCAAGGTAGAGACAGCGAGAGAGCGGGAGAGCGTGAGAAGTAGCGAGGAAAGAGGGGGAGAGAGAGAGAGAGTGAGAGAGAGAGAGAGAGAAAAAGAGAGAGAGAGAGAGAGAGAGAGAGAGAGAGAGAGAGAGAGCGTGAGAGAGATAATTCGGAAAAAAGTTGTTTTCCCTTTCGGCGCCACGTAAACTTTATAGGCATCAAACTCAAGCGTTTTACTCCATCGTATTTCTTAGAACCAACATATTCATTGTAGGAATTTTATCTGGGTTCTCCTCTCTCTCCCTCTCTCGCTCTCGCTCTGTCTCTCTGTGGTCCCGATTACCAAAAATTGCGACTAGTAAAAATCCTTTGCTTAAAACCCATAGCCATATCCGATTTGAAAAGCTGTCCAAACAACCCCGATTCACTGCCAAATATGATCTCCTATCCTGTGTGGTACACTATGAATGACCGTGTGGATAATCGGCTCTTCAGCTCGTTCAGCCTAACCCCACATTTCCATCCAAATCCAAATACCATACAATGGCCCTCTTTCCGGAGCACTACCCTTCCCCTTATGCATCCAGCCCTCAAACAGTCGAATCATACCAGCCGGCCCTTTCCGGTCCTTTTCCGGCTCTCTGGCTGACGCATCACCAAATAAAGCACAGGGCCGGGCGGTGGATTGGTCATACACACATCTCGGGCTCCGCGGCTCGGCTCCGGCTTGGAAAATATTTTTTACAACGGCTGTACTACAATTTGCACGTAAAGATTGCTTTTCTCGTCTTTTTTTAGTATTTTTAAGGTCCCAAAATTCTGAAAAACGATTTTTTTAGAAATCTTTTGCGTAGCATACAAGCATCCAAAATAATATATTTAATTTGAATGCTTTTATCATTTCAGAACTGTAGGAAAACCGAATTTCATTAAATTACACAATTCTGAGCTTCGGACCCAAAAATATGTGAACATAATCGCGGTCGGGCTCATTGGTTGGAGCCTGGCACTGGCACTATTCAAGTTTCTCTTCGCTTTTCACATGCCGGTCAATTGATTTGGCGATTGACCGGGGTAAGGTGAAGCGGACGGGGGTCGAACCCGGGCCTTCGGATTAGCAGGCGGGTGCGCTAACCAGTAGGCCAAGGGCTTCCCTGTGGCATTGGTAGGAGGACGGTATTTGTCTCTGGTCGAACGGCAATGTAACAGTATCAGCAATGCCTTGTATTGGGATTTTTTGATTTTGCAGTATTGCAATTTTTTTTTGCAGTAAATTTATGAAGGTTAAACTAAATTAAATAAGCCGAATATTTTATGAAAAATCTAACATTTTAATAATTAAGCAGGCTCCGTCTATGTAATGGCTTTTTTAATGCCAGAAATGGGAAGTCGTAGACCCCCGCGAAATCTATCTCTTTCTCACCTCTCTCTCTCTCTCTCTCTCTCTCTCTCTCTCTCTCTCTCCCTCTGACCTTGCCTCTTTTTCCTTTAAGAATAAATTTCAAAAGTAAGGTTTTCGGAATTCCCCAGCAAGTAGTAAACATCAACAGGTGAATGTTTTCCGCCCCCACCCGCCTCCTTCTCCCCCCGCAAATGTGGTGGAAAATAATCCGGTCGCCATGGACCCTTATGTCTTTTCCTTCTCTGGCTCTTTTCCAAGCCCAAAAACGACCAAAAAGACCCACTTATGGCCACCGAGTACGCGCAAATGCACACATTTTGAGGAGGACTCGATGCCGTTTCAAGACCATATTTTGTTTTGAAATTTATGCGTTAAAATTTTGCCTAGGACGCTATTCCAGTAAAAATGTTAACCTTATATCTAGAACAAAATTAAATACCCGGTTTTTAGCATTTAAAAGTATTAATTTTCTATATAAAAACTGCAGCTTGGCAATGCGCCAATTAACGCTTTAAATGTCTTAAAACGATACCTCAAATTCGATAATTTAGCGCAAAGAACATGCACAAATAAAATTTTCCGTAATACGCCTAGAAACCTCCTCGCCGATGCCCCATCCGCCCATTGAAATCTAGAATGGATACAATCCAAATATTAGCTGGCCAGCCGGGAGGCTCGTGGGAAAGAATCTCGGGCTAGCTGGCGCTGTGTGTTGCCTGGCCCCCAGGGCCATAATCCGATTTCCATTCATTTACTCCTTACCCCCGGCACCCGACTCACTTACATACACAAATACATGCACCGCGAGACAGGAGAGAGAGGCGACCGCGTAAACAAAACAAGCCAGCCCTGGCGCTGTGGTGGTGATAACGGCAAATCAATTGTCGCGGAATTTTTTATCTAATTGTTAGTTTTGAATGTGCCTGTGATTTCACCTTTCTTTTTATTTCTTTTACTGTGAATGGGAGTGGGTGAGAGATACAGAAACAGAGAGAGTGTGTGTGAGAGAGAGAGATAAAGAGAAAGCTAGTGAGAAGCAGATAGAGCGAAAGAGCGAGAGAGACAGAGCGATGGAGAGAGGTAAATTTGCTTTCTTTTCAGAATTCTTACGGAATTAATTTGATTCGTTAATTTGAGAAGCTCCACGGATCTCTGAAAAACAATATAGTTTTTATTTTGTTTATTTATACGATTAATTCGGCATATTTTTCTTGGGGATTAACTTTGCAACCCGATCGCTTTCCCAAGTCTCGATTCGCAGGCGGATTAGCCGGCCCAATTATGGACTTTACAAGGCCTGCGAAAATTGCCGGTGCGAATCTCGATAGGTACGAACCTTCCTCGAGCGCTATTTTATAAAAATCCCTAAAACCCGTCCAAAATTGGACTCAAAAAATTTTTTGTTCGGTTTGTCTAAGAAACCTTTTTCGAATGCAAATTATCTTAAGTTAGCCCCTATCGGCTTGTTCTTTGTTTTTGTTGGTTGTTGTGCTGTTTGCGTCTTTTTCCTTCTTTTCCGTGCCCGAAATTAATCAATGTAAGGGGGCAGGCAGCTGGCCCTTCGGGGGTCATGGACCGAATGTTCGGGCTAGGCGCTTCCCCCTGATAAGAAATTCATTGCTTTTCATAAATAATTGTTAGGTTTTCGCTGTTTTGGCGAGGAAACTGACCACAGGAAAAATTTGGTGCCTTCACAATTGTTTTTTTAGCTGTGTTTCTACAAATTTGTAGCAGTTTTATAAAGTTTTTTTTGTCTCCCTCTTTGTCTCTCTCGCTCTCTCTCGCCCTCTCTTTCTCTCTCCCTCAATCTGGCTCTCTCTCTCTCTCTCTCTCTCTCTCTCTCCATATCTATCTCTCTCTCTCTTCTTGACCTTTTCTGGAGTCTTTCCAACTTTTTTAAGTGGCCCGAAGTGCAAAAACAATCCATTCAGCCCATTTTCCCGGTTCCGATCTTATTTTGCCCTTATTTCCTATTCACTCTTCATTTTCAAATGAAACAACGTTGATTTCTCTATTTTTCAGCTGCCCCCACGCGTTCCCCGCCACAATTATGCGCGAATAGATGAACGGGCGTCAGCTAGCCGGCCTGGAGGATGGGTGCGAGCAGTGGGAGGTGAGCAAGAGCTCGTTTTTATCAAGGAGAAATCAAAAAAGAAAATTTTTTTATTTTTACCAATTAAAAAACATTTCTTTAAACCGAAAACCTTGATGCCCTCAGAAGTGGAAAATGGCTGATTTTTGTCTTTTGTCTGTTTGAAAATCAGCTTTTACATTTACAAAAATTTAAAAGCCAAGCTAATTAAAGTGACTGCAACCGCAAAACGTTTAAAAAATTTTATTTACGCAATAAAATTGAAAATTAAACGTTTTTGAGTTTCCTAACTGGCTAAATTATGCGTTTTTTTACTTGCTGCAAGGCTCATTGGTTGCATCTTTCGGTAAAATTTTTAACAGCACCGTAGCTACAGTATAACGCTGAGTTGCACTAGAAAAACATTCTTTTTTAGGTGTTCGTCGTGCTCGCCATCTCACCACTCTCCATCCTTCTTCGCAACCTCCTAGAGCCCTACCTTTTCCTCGGGTCCAATTTCTCACAAAATGCATTTCAATACGGGTCAGTTTAAATTTTTACAGATTTCATTAAATCTCTATAAAAGTCCAACCATTTTATTTTAATTCTAATACTTTTTCAGGTTAAAATTCATAATCGATTTTGCTGTGATCGTGCTCCCAGTGCTCCTTACAATGACATATTATGCTGAAGATGTCGTCTTTGCCTTGTATCTTATTTTGGTAGGTACATTAGCTTATTTTTTAGTGTTTTTTAGGAATTTATTGCTCTTATCTTGCTCCTCAGGTTACTCAAATTTTTCTGCACAACTAAAGAGCGACCATCAATTACGGTGGGCATTTCGACTTTTTATGAAACGAAAACCATTTATTAAGCATGTTTTACAGTATTCTTCAGCAAAAAGACAATATTTCAAGTTTCGGAGCAACTACAGTGATTTTAGGCAATTCTCAACACAACTCTGGAAAAGGAGCATCACCCAACTACGTATCTGACCTATTTACGGTAGAGTACCCAATTTTATTTTTATTTTAATTTTAGTGGTATGGTGCTAATTTTCACTGGTATTGCCATCCTTGCTGTCGATTTTTCAGTATTTCCAAGACGGTAGGTCAAAGAGTCTGAGAGAGAGAGAGAGAGAGATAAGAGAGAGAGAGAGAGAGAGAGAGAGATAGAGATATCGAGAGAGAGAGACCGAGAGGCAAAGCGAAAGACTGCGAGAGATATATCTTTTTCTAGATACGCCAAGACAGGCTTCTACGGCCACAGCTTGATGGACGTCGGCGTGTCGGCATTTGTCTATATTCTAGGCATCTCAAATCACTTGAAAACTCAACGGAAGGGCGGAGATGACGCCAACAAAAAGAGGTAGGTGCTTTAGTCGATGCATAAAGTCTGGATTTCGAGGCATGAAAAACAAGATTTTTAGATCTCCTTTGGCGATCCTGACCGGCTCATCCGCTCTTCTACTGTACCTAGGTGTTGGGCGTACCGTGGTGCTAAAAGTAGGTTATCGTACCCGTCGTATTAATGGGGTATAGAAGCGTCTGTCGTAAGCTAGATCTCGACGGGTACGCAATACGACAAATGACGTATGGGTCGTAGTTAAAAATACTCAGCTATTGTTGGCGTCATTTAGCGTATAGCGTAGCGGCCTACACCCAATATGGGTCGAGTGGGTCGATTCTCGCTCCTAATGGCAGCTTTAGCAAGAAAATCCATAATTTTCCTCAGGCAATCGGCTACGGTACCTCGATCACCGAATACGGGGTGCACTGGAATTTCTTCTTTACGTTATTTCTCGTTCATGTAAGTAGGAAAAAACGGAGCACATGGTTATGTATACATTTTAGCTCTTTTCGAAAGTGTACAACCAACGTGCTCATCTACTACTCGCTATTGTAATGGCCGGAATTCATCAGTTGTTGCTGAGTGGCGGGAATGAGGTAAGTTTACCAAAAAAATATAGGTATTTTATAAAAATTAGGCATAATTTTGTGATTTAATGACATTTATGGGATACCAAAATTAGCTCGATGTCTAGGATTGGGCCCTTTCCGATGACGAGCCACGCGATAATTTAATATCGGCAAATCGCGAGGGTATCGTCTCCCTACTTGGCTATATATCACTTTATTATTTTGCGAGTGCTATTGGGAGGCCATATCATGAGGATCGGGTAAGCAACAATCTCTATCTAGCTCGCGCTCTCTCCCTCTTTCTTTGTCCCTCTCTCTCTCCTTCTCTCGCTCATTCCCTCTCTTTCTCGCTCTCTTTCTCCGGCTCTCGCTCTCACTCCCTCTATCTCTCTAACCCTGTTCTTTCAGAAACAAAGTCGCCGACAATCTCAAGTGTCTCGTCCAACTTTTCTTCATAGCTGGTGCTTGCTACATTTTACAACTTTTTTGCGGTAGCTGTTTTTGCTGCTCCATCGAGACGAGTCGCAAATCTAGCATATTTATTTTCTCAGGCAAGGTGTCTTCTTTTTAGGTATAATAGATGCTTTTTCAGCTCTCCGTGCTCACCTACTCTCTATGGATCTGCCTCCTTGTCCAAACCATCATTATACTGGGCTGGGCGACCGGAATACCATATTTTGGGAAAGGTACTGTATTACCGCCCTACTTTTATGTATCGCGAAATGCCGAGCGCAATTCTTGGCATTTTTAAGCTGTGTCATCTCTTTGAATACATTATTTATATCAATTGAACATGTCTTTTGGTTTGTCGCATGGCTGTCAAGACCTAGTCATCGGCAGGGGTCGACTCTGAAACTGTCCCGTTCCTTTAAAATACAAATTATGACAAATTTTGAATTTTGTAATTTCAGGCAACAACCCGTGGCAAGGAATCCAACCGTGCATGCTGGAAGACGTGAACCGAGCTGGCCTCTGGTTTTTCTTGCTGTGTAATGTGTTGACAGGTAAGATTCGTACTTTCTGACCCTTATCCGTACGTCTAGGTACTGTAAATATGACGGTGGATACTTACTCCACAACTGATGCCGAGGCCACCGTACTCCTCGGTATTTACATGCTCATCAGCTGCGTGGCAGCCCGAATTTTTGTGATGGTCCGTAATCGATGGCGAGCTGGAAATCAGAAAATTCCCTATGTGATCAAAAAATAAAATCTCGTCCAATTTGCTTTTTTTAAGATTTTGAACCAACCTGGCCTTCATCGAAAAATTTTTCCTATACCTATTTTGGTGTTGAATAGCCGATAACGAGGCCAAGGGACTACGTTTTTTCCGGAAATGAGGGTGGCAAGCAGCTGATCGGAATTTTTCCCAGAATTTCAGTATCCCGTACTCCAGTTTCTTCAAAAACAAGCTAAAAAAAAGCAGTGGCTTACTAGAGCTTACTATTCGAATCTTTTCAATTTTTCATTTTCACCTGTTTCCAACACCGACATCTGGTTTTTCTAGACTCCAATTCCATATCGACACTCCCGTAAATATTTATAAATGGGAATCCCTGGGCTTTACCGGCTTAAAAATCAGTGTTGTTTTTGTATCCTTCGCATATCCTATGACATTTCGACATCAGGCTACGCGGTAGAAAGGTTCTTGATCCTCCGGAAGACCAACCCGTGCTCCAGCTTTTTCTTGCGTCCAAATTAATGGCCAATTTCCGGGCTAAACAGCACATCCTCCAGCGCTTTCCGAGAACCAAGCCACATTCAGGAATTCATTTATCGCCACGCGGTTACCGTATTCAACGTTTTTTTCTTCAAGCAGTGATACCATACAAGACGAAATAATGCTTCAAGACCACTTTTTAAAATGACAAATTTGGCTTCGCAGCTCCTTTAAAGTGCTGTAGAAGGTCTTAACTGGGAGTGAGGAAGAGAGAGAGAGAGAGAGAGAGAGAGAGGAGCTGAGCGAGAGATAGAGAGAGATGAGAGCTAGAAAACCACTGAGAGTGCGAGGGAGAGCGAGAGAGTTGGAGAGTGATAGTAATAGCGTTAGCTAGAGTTATCGATAAAGAGCCAGGTTTAGCCAGAGAGAGATAGAGAGAGAGGGAGCGCGAAATAAGAAAGAGCGGACTGCGAGAAAGAGAGAGAGAGAGAGCGTGAGTGAGAGAGTACAGTAGCCACAAAAACGAGCTTTTCTTTGCCTTCCCACCGCCTTTGGCCTGTTGTTCGAAACGTTCTCGAACCGCCTAAAAATTTGAGGTCCGATTAGTGGTGACTGGGAGCGAAACATTATCCTGCTCAGGGCAGCGTATTTCCACGGAGTGACAGCCTCCCTCCCCCGATCGGTCTCCATTTCTTGCCCCTAGATGGTTATTATCGTGGCAGAATCTTGGAAGAAGCTCCCCTCATTCTCGAGACCCTTTTTCTACCCGCAAAAACATCAAGAAGGGGCCACTTGTTCTCGAGTTGACAGGGACGGGGGGAGATACAAACTCCTCGATACTTGAGACATGGGTCATGTTGCCAAACCTGAGTGAGCAAACTATGAGATATTATGACCGGCTCGGCTTGATATTATGATTTTCATGCGGTATAGCGGCGCAAAGAGTATTTTCCATTTTTACCTTATCTACCATTTTTGCGAACTCTGCCAGACGTCGGTCAACTTTTTAATCTAGAGATCGGTTTTCGAACGGAATTCCATTAATTTACGTTTTTGTCGTTTCATTATCGTTTTGTACAGAATTTTTTACTCTATCTGATTCGTTCTCTCTCTCACTCTCTCTCTCTCTCTCTCTCTCTCCTCTTTCTCTCTCTCTCGCTGTATCTCCCTCTCTTTCTCTCACTCTCTCACTCTCTCGTATCGCTAGTACTACAGAGATTTCTATGTTTTGGTTTCTTAGTATCCCAAAATTCCCTAGTTTTTCTCCCAAATTCTCAAGACCACGATCCATGCCCAGAATAACACTGGCTGCTTCATCTTGCCCAAGTTTTATGGTGTGACACTGCTAACTTGGTGGAGTCGAGTTTATACAGTTTTCCGCCATCGATTTCTACCTCCGTTTTTTTATCTATTTTTCCCAAGTATGGCCTAGTTTGCCTTTGAAAAGGGTCGCCCATCGGCTCATTCATTAATTTTGTATGCGGATCACATCTGGCTACGACATTTACGCATTTCAGCAGAATTTGGCCTCATTTTTTACGTATTTTAATTTGCCGGTTCCGAACCGAGGCACCATCTTTTTACGAACCCTAAAAATGGACGCATAATCCCTTCCCCTTCATGAAATACCATTAAATTAGAAGCCCAACCTTCTCCCTCGATCTCGTCTCGATCTCTCTCTCTCTCTCTCTTTCTCTTTGCTTGGAAACCCTCCTTATAGTCTAGCCATCAAAATAAACAGCCTCGGGAAATTTGAAGGGAATTCGAAGAAACAACCCCATAAAGCGGGAGATCCCCATAAAACGGCTGTTATTTTGGTTTGGGCCTTTTATTGGGGGTATTTGACGGGGCGTGTTACGGATTGGGCGCTAGTAATAAGCATCTAAGGGCTTCTTTTATTTATTTTAGGCCCGATAGCAGGTAGAAATAGACGTTGGAGTGCCTCGTAGTCGTCGTTTATGCATATTTTGCAATAAAGTTTGGCAGCACAAAGCTTGCACTTGGATTTGCAAATTAGTATTCTTCTTTCTCCTCTCTCTCTCTCTCTCTCTCTCTCGCGGCCTCTATCATTTTTTCCGATTCGAACTACTTCCAGGGAATGCTCCTAAAATTTTACCCCTTTCTCATCCCAGGCCGCTGCTATAAATTGGTCAGAAAAAAATTGTGTCCCTCCGCCAGCTGGTTATGACCTCAAAAATTTGAGGCATTGGAAGGCTGGACGTATCGCATGAATTCTCTAGTTTTCATCCGGGATCTTTGGACTTTGTTCGGTTTCTTTATTTACTCAACTTGTTTGTACCGTATCCGAGAACCTTGGCGAGAGGCGAGAGAGCGAGTCGTAGGGAGGGAAAGAGAGAAAGAGAGCGAGCGAGGGAGATGAGAGAGAGCGAGAGAGAGAGAGAGAGAGAGGGGAGAGAGAGAGAGAGAGAGAGAGAGAGAGAGAGGAGCTAGGTCGCGCGCTAATGCAAAAGTTATACTCCTTCTATATTTTTTCCATCTTTGGTTGCAAAACGGCGCTGTTTTTTTCATCACCTCGATCCGAAATCCATGCAAATTATTCTCATACCAAGCATAGCCTGAAAAAAGATACCCACTTACCCCTTGCCAGAACCAAACAGAATCTTATTCCCTCAAGAAAAACAAAAACTTCGCCCAGCTGGCGGCTCCGAGACCAGTGAAGCGCCCCTCCCCCAGCCCCGGATTTGATTAGTGTTCTTTAGGCTCTGACGAGGTAAATTTCAGGCTGAAGGGAAGTGCCCTACATCAGATTTTGTTGGTGCTATCGAATACCTGAAATATGGTTGATCTTACGCGTTGCCGTAGTTGCATCTTGTTAATTTCTATAATTCTTGGTTGCCGTAACCCTAAAGGGACTGGGACACCCGATTTTCGACTGATTTTATCGACGGAGTGGAGATAACAACGCGGCGAGCCAAGTGACACCTGCAAATCCCCTTTTTGCCGTAAGCTCACGTCGCTAGAAGGCAGTAAATATCGATTTCAAGCGCGATTTGGCTCCCCGCGTAGCTGTCTAGATCTAAGTGAAGTGGGGGTCGATTCTTGACCTACCTGGCCCCTTGAAGTTAATTTTACGTTTTACATACATATTGTTTAATATGTCGAAAACTATCCAAAGTCTTTATTTTACTCCCTCCGTCACCGTATAAAAATTTTTTTGACGATTTTTACGTGTTTACAGTTCCTCACAAAATTTTTAGTTCTCTGAAATTGTCGAAAACGATCCCAAACACGCACAACAAAAATTCATCCAGCTTACCGCAAACTTCCGGAAAACAGCTTAAAAAATTTGGCCCGTAAATTGATATGCCGGCGTCGCGTGTTCTTCTATCGTCACCACGACCAGTTTTTCCAATTTTAAATCCAAAAAATCTTTCGAAATTCAAAATTTCCGGCTAGCACCAATCTCTGGCGCCACTTGCACTTCGACACTCGTCAATTTAGCGAGCCAGAAAGGGGGTGGAGCCGGCAAAAACAATTTTCGGTGTGCTGAGGTCACATCAGGAGCGCAGATCTCAATGGAGGGGGAGGATATTCAGAATAGTGCAGAGGAGGTCTCTCGGAATTGGCTTTGTTTGGGCAAAAACTTTAGTTTTTTGGCGCCAAAAGCCATTTTTGGATGAAAGAATGTCCTGAGCACAGGCTCATTCACGAATCAGAATTTTTTAGAGCGTTTTGGGGCTTTTAAAGGTACGAGCAGTGAAGTCAGCTTTTGATTTCTCTCTCTACTCCAATCACTCTCTCTCTCTCTCTCTCTCTCTCTCTCTCTCTCTTTCGCCCTCTCTCTCTCTCTCTCGCTCCTTCTCATTCTCTCTCTACTTTTATTTCGCTCTCGCACTTTCGCGTTCTTTTTCTCCCTGTCTAACTTTCTATAATTTGTCTACTTCTCTTGCTCTCTCGCTCTCTCTCCCTCTCTATCTCTCACTCTCTATCACTCCTTTCACCCACTTCACAGTCTCTTTAAATCATGCCCTGACCAGCAAATCTCAACCACCCTCCCCAAAATTCATTGCCCTCCCCCTAGCCCCGAGGCGTGAATGTTCAGAAGGGCAAAAACAGCTGTGTTCCGTGGCCATTTCTCATGACTTCTTGCTCTTCTTGTGGGGTCTAGGCTGTGCTTGTGCTCTTCGTCCCCTTCCCTATCCGCCCATTTCTCTTCCTTGCTCCTTTCGGCTGACCGAATCCCTGCAGGACCCGAACACACACTTTCGCGGGTGCAGGTTTTTCGGGTGCAGCTTCTCTTAATTGAATCTTAGGTTTGGAACAGGGTTCTGGCCGGTTTAAAGAGATTTCGAAGTCATGGAACGCTTTTCTTGCAACCGGTTACGCTAGGAAATATGATAGCGCCGGTTCATACCAAAAAATGGATGCATTAAAAACGCATTTCCTCATTTTCATAGCCTAACCGTTTGAGGAGTGGTCCTACGAGGTACTTTAAAGGTATGATTTCTTCCTAACTCACTCTTCTCTCTCTCACCCTCTCTCTCTCTCTCTCGCTCGCCCTCTCTCTCGGTAACTCTCGGTCGCGCTCTCTCCCTCCCTAACACTCTATCCCTCTATCTTCCTATTTCTCGCTCTCTTTCTCTCTCCGTCTCGCACTCTCTCTCGCTCTGTCTCTACCTCGCACTCGCTCTACCTCAATATCTCTGTATCTATATTTCTGACGCTCTCATGGCCTCTCTCTCACTGCCTCAACCGCTCAAGTGCTCTATCTCTTTTGCACTCACTCGCCCTCTCTATCGTGGACTATGATTTTAAATTTATTTTTAAAAACAAACTTGAATTTATACGACCCAACCCCATTCTTTTCTCTCCCTCTGACCAAATCCAATCTACCAGCCTATCAATTCAGCACGTGTTCCCCCTGTTGGGCCCCACCTTCCCCCCACCTCGAACACCCATTTTTCTATTTCGGGGTGATCTAGGAAACAAATTTCCACCAATTTTAGCGCCCCGGGTGACGCAGGGAATTAATTTTTGGGCCGAGAAAACAAATGGTTTCCTCGTGGGTTGGGGGTGGAGTGGCGTGCCGGACAACAACAAGGCGTTCGGCTTGACCATGGCTCCTCGTTGCCTGGCTTTTGGACCTTGCCTTTATGAATTTCAACATTAACGAAAAATTCCTCGATCTTCCTTAAAAGGACTAGGAAGTCCCAGAATCGACCCTCCGCGGGCTAGATCTAGGCAACTAAGAAAAGCGCCAAGTGACGTAGCACTGCTGCCTATTTTTGCTGCATTTTGACGGCATTTTGGCACCTCAAGTTTATAAGACAAGCGTATGGGGGTAATTGGGATACCTGGCATTTGTCGAGACCTAGTGGAGTACAAGGGTCGATTGTCTCGCTTCGACGTCCCTTTAATTTTATTATCATTTTCAGTGATCTAAATATTATTTTTCCATACTAATTGTACCCGGAAATCGTATTTCTAACGCCAAAACAAGAACCAAGGACGAGAATTTATCGCCTATTTCCCTCTGGACCAGGAATTCCAGGAAATTTCCGGATTTGCCCGTTCTTTCTAGACCGAAAAGCTAAATCATGAAATGGCAATCTCATTGCAGTATTGCTAATCTAGCTGATTTTTTTGCAAAACCACCTGGTTTTGCGCTAGTTTTTTTTGCGGCAGCCCGGCTTTTCCTTTTTTGTTTTTCGCTCTCCCAGCGTCCGATGGCGTTACGGCGCTTCATAAATTCAGCCCATATCACTTTCCAGAGGCTTTTTGTGATGAAAAATTCGTCTGGAAGGAAAACGCACTTCCCGTTTCACAAATTTGCAACATTTTGGAAATTGAAAGCGCTTCCAAATCACCGAAAAATGGCAATCTTCTGATTGTAAAGGAAGTCCTGGGTTTCTAAATCTTGTCCTTGCAACCGTAACCCTCTACCGTGACGCCATTTTCTTATGTTGCTGTTTTATTTACTATTTTCTTTTGCTCCAGTTGACATTTAGCGCGTCTCAACGCGACAAGCGAAATGGGTTTGTAGACCTCGGTGCTTCTGCTAGGCAACAACATTGTTGGTGGTGGTGGCCGAAAATCTTGGCCCCCAAATTATTCCATTTCGCGGCCTTTCGTAGGGAATTTCATTAAAAAATTTCGTGTTGTTAGGGTTGTCACGGGAAGCATGGAAAGACCGAAATTATGTAGCAAAGATCGAAATTATGAAAGAGCCAAGGATTACTCTAATTTTTAAAAGCATTGGCTTTGCCAAATGCTTATGAATTTATGAGCTTCTTGACCTTGTGGAAGTTGTTGGACTTCTACTTCCAAGTCTCTGTCTTTTTCTCTTTCTTTCTCTCTCTCTCTCTCTCTCTCTCTCTCTCTCTCTCTCTCTTTCTCTCTCCTGATATACGTTTTAAACTGGCCAACTTTCCTGAACTTCGTCTCTTCGTCATGTCTCGATCTTTATTTATGAGTTTTTAGAAAAATGGAGACCGAGGTCGACGTGCTCGACCTGTACATGAATGGCACGGATTGGTGCTTTGACATCAAGAAATTCTACGAGATCCGGAATTCAAGTCTCGATCTCCTATTCAAGGAGCAGCTACCCAGATATTGGCAATTCAGGTGAGTCTCTCAATCTCGCTGTCTCTCTCTCTCTCTCTCGCTTCCATCAACACTTTCTTTTTCAGCTTTGCAATAAATGGGTGTTTTTCGCTATTTTTGGTGGCGTTCGGCATGCTGGGGAATATCTTGTTGATGATGCAGGTGAGTCAGAAGCTTTAAAAATACCTTTATTAAAAGCCTTAAAAATATCTATTCGTACTCTTATAAATCGAATTTCAGATCCGTTTTTACCGAGCGTTTTCAAAGCGCCTATCCATTCACCTATCCATGATCTGTGTTTGGGACATTGTGTTGATGATGTGTTGTCTAACAACATACGCCTTTCCGGTGTACTACTACGGACACATGTGGTATTACGGTAAGCCCAGACGGAAAAGGGCAGTGAGCAAACTAGCAGGGGTTTTTGGAGAATAGAAAATCCGGGAACCGGCTACTTTGAGTCAAACCTAGAGAGGTTTTTGAGGTTTCTAGGAATAAATCTGTGAATCCGACAAAGCAGGATCGGGCAAGCTAGAAGCGATTCCTTGAAGGAGAGAGCGAGAGAGAGAGCGAGAGAGAGCAGAGACAATTTGCGGAAACATCCAATGAGCGTGTCTATTTAGGTCCCATGGCCTACGCATTGCTCATCATGCAACCACTTGCCTCATTTTGCGTCCTGGCCACAATTTGGCAGGTACTCGCCATTACGATGGAACGATACCTTGCCGTCACAAATCCGCTAGAACAACGAACACTAAAAGCCAAATTTGGATCCAAGTGGATTTGCGGAACAATCAGTAAGATCACGAAAGTCTAGCAAGTCAGCCAGACAACTTTAGTTGTCGTCTCAGCCCTGTTGAACCTGATCCCAGTACCGTTCGAGCGGATGATAACGGACTGCTTCTTGCTGAAAGCCGGGCCGGAAGGGATCAAAACGTTTCACTACAGTCAATTGCTGAAGATCAAGGAGGAGGGCAGCTTGACGGCAGCGTGTAGGTTTCGAAACGTTTAGAATAAAATAGCAAGCCAGAACAACAAAAGCCTTTGCAGTGCTGCACCTGATCCCCGACTTTGTCTTCCGTGCCCCGCTCCCAATCCTGGCCATCGCCCTCCTGACCGGCCGCACGATCAGGGTGTGCAACGAGAGACACGTTGGTGGCACTCTTGTTGCCAAGTCGAGGAGAAACATTCAGCTCCAATTGGCGGTAAGTTGGGATCCATGCTTCAACATCTGTAATTTTCAGCTACTCAGCTTCAAGTTCATCCTGTGCAACACGCTGTACATGTTCAACACCGTCCTGATCGAGCTGTTCGGCATTGGGCTATACTTGAAGCCGTGAGTTTTTCGAGGACTAACAGGGGTTTATTTGGGTATTGGAGCTGAAGGTCAGGTAAACAGCATGAAAAGTTGGGACTGAGCTGCTTGCCTGATACTCTCAGAAAAATGACCCAGAAATGTAAGCCTAGTCTAAGGATTCAAGACGCTGCGCTAAACGGCTTGAACTCGAGGCGAGAGTGCTCAGCCTGCAATAAAAATCTTCAAAACTAGGGTGCTGAACTGCTTGAACCTTGCGTCCAAGCTCTTGTCTCTTGATTCAGCTATCAAGTCGACGTCAGTGGGTTCAAAAGACGGGGCTGAACTGCTCAAGCCTGTCTTCATACAATTTCAAGCCGACCCTTCTAAACACGGTTTTCCCCTAAACCCGCAATTTCCAGTGGCTGGAACTCGGACGAAGCGGCGGCTTGGCACTACATGAACAGCTTCTACCTGACCGACGTCTCGAACCTGTTACTCCTCGTCCACTCGGCAACGAATTGGCTGCTCTTCTACAATTTCCCAAAGTTCCAGAGGGTACTAATGACACGGTACTGTAGCTTACAGTAATTCATTTAGAAGCAAAGTGCCGTCCTCCAAAGCTCGTCCTTCACCTCGATTCAAAGGACTTCCATGACGGAGCATTTCGCTAAGTTTGCGCTGAAAACGATCGCCAACCGGAAACAGCAGATTGGGAGGGAAATTTTGGCAAAGGTGGGGTGTAAATTGGAGCATAGCGTAGTCGATATCACATGAAAAAAATTTTCAGAAAGTCACAGAGTAAAAATCCACCATTGCTGATTTGCAGCTCCTTTAAGCTTTTGAATTTATGTATATATTTTGATAGAAGTGATCTTAAGAGCAGTAACTTTAAAAATACAAGAAAATATACCTTTAAAAATTCTAATAATTTTTCAGATCTGCTACGACATGCCGGCCGTGAAAAACGCAATTTTCTCCGAGTTGGCAAGCCCTCAAAACTATTCGCTAATCCTGACGAGCCCACCGATCCAGGAGTACGGCACAAAAGTTGGAGAATTTTTGCAGACGTCGCTCGAATGGTTAGGAATCGACTAGGCTACAAAAATTGGGAAATTTTCAGGTTCGCTGATGCATCAAGCCCATATTCAACTATCAGAGAAACATGTCGAAAAGGCGGGGCGGCTCATTTTCAGAATAGTTCTCATTTTACGGCGCAGCAGTGGAAGCAGATGCGGCAGATTTCGGTATCGGCGGTATCCGGATTTATGTTGAAGTGAGTTATAGAAAAGGGTGGGACATGGAGAGAGGGTGAGTGAGACAGACAGACAAAGAGAGAGAAAGACAGGCGCTAGACAGAGAGCGAGAGATAGAGAGAGAGAGAGAGAGAGAGAGAGAGAGAGAGAGAGAGAGAGAGAGAAACCCGCAGCAACCTAGAGGATGCGGCAGCGATAGAGGTAGATGAAAAAATCGGTTTAGGCACAGTCCCAGCCGTGAATATTCGAGAACGGAAATCGAAAACGTACTAACGAGGGCCTTTAATATTTTGCTGGCCGAAACAAAAAGTGGAGCGTTGTGCGCACTTGTTGAAGCCAATAAGGTCTGAATTACCTCAATTTCTGGTTCTAGAAACCTGTCTTCATTGTTTCTTTAAAAACAAAACCTAAACATTCAGGCAAGCAAATGCACGCGTTCCACTTCGATGAACGAGGAGGGTGAGTGGCGTAGCCGTCCAGTTTCGATGAGGTAATTCCCGCCTTAGTTTGCAAAACAGCCGTTTTAGCCCTCAACGAGCTATATTATACAAAAACAACAATTCTATGGCTAGATAAATTTATTATCATAACTTGCCTTAGGAGCCAACAACTCTCCTGTCAAAAATCGTCTCGCGAATCTTCCGGAAACGAGGAAATGCAACTGCTCGTCCCGATGAATTGCATGGAACAGACTTTGTAACGTTATATGTCTTTTTGTAACTTTAAGGAATCAGGAATTTATTTAAAGCATTTTTATCAAGCTCTTCCTGAAAAAAAAGTGCATTGCTGATCCCTTTAAATTAATATTTTGTGTTTTGTGTGTTTCCCTAATCTGTACCCTCCCTATTCCGAGCATAATATCACAACTTCCCAGTGCTGATACGTGTAGTTTGTACTCTAACGATCTTTTCTTTTTCATTGAATTTATTTTATTAATTTTGTAAGCGCTTTTTGATGGCCAGGCTACCCGTACGTTGGCGTCATTTGGAGTTGAGCAAACATAAGTGAGGAGTTTAAGAGAATGAGAGGAACAGAGAGAGAGAGAGAGAGAGAGAGAGAGAGAGAGAGAGGAAAGAGGTTAAGAGAGAGAGAGAGAGAGAGAGAGAGAGAGAGAGAGAGAAAGTGGGAGAGAGAGAGGAGAGAGAGAGAGAGAGAGAGAGAAGAGAGAGAGAGAGAGAGAGAGAGAGAGAGAGAGAGAGAGAGAGAGAGAGCGCGCGCGAGTGAGATGCAAATAAAAACGGATGAAGTCAATTAGTGAAAAGTTTTGATCTTTTCGTAGTGATACTGCGGCACCCGGAGTAGCTGATCGACATTTCCTGTACATTTGTCGTTTTTCTAAAGATTGTATCTATCATTTGCTTGATTTTTGGGTTGTAACTTAATATACTTCAATTATATTTTTTTCGAAGTTACGCACATTACTGAATCCTCGAACGAGTTTTTAAAAGTGTATAACCTCACAGAAAAGCGGCCTGAAAGTGCCCCTAGCAAAATGCAGAAATCCGCGACCCAACTGGTATGCTTCAGTTTGTTTGATCAGGATCACGGTATCATCAGCCGGTTCTATTTTCTTTTTGGTAGATCGAAGATGGGCACGTTTTTCTGAAAAGGAAAGATGAATGCGAGACTGGGAGTTAGAGAGAGCGAGAGAGAGAGAGAGAGAGAGAGAGAGAGAGAGAGAGAGTGGAAAGGTGCAGAACGAGAACTCACCATCCAACGAGTCAAAATACCCCAGAGCTCCCTAATGTGAAGCGAAGCGTGGACATCGAGTAGCCCAATAAAATCCCGAATTCGGTCCGTCGTCCCGACGAGAAGATATTTTTCAACGAGATGTCGTTTAGCCGTTTCGAGGGCTAGCTTGTTGCCGACTTCACTAAAATTTTGAGGGTAACCGGATTACGGTAGATTTATTATATTTTTAGGTCTTGCTAACCTTCAAAAAAAACTCAGGGTTTTGAAGTACCTTCTCGTAAAACTACAAAACACACCTGCAAAATGGGTGGTGCCCGCAAAAATAGGTAATCTGCAGCCAGAGTTGCTTGACGTCACAGTCCTTTCCACTTCTCCGGATGCACTGATCGAAGGTCTGAAATGAATTGTCTTAAACTTATTTATTAATTTAATTTTTACTTAAATGGAAGGGGTCTAAATGTAGTTAGTTTCCTGTAGAGGCTGATTTTTCGCTGATTGAGCGTAATGTTCGTGTAATTTGCTATCGGAAAAGTTTAAACCCCGCTTACCTCATTATTGCCGGCTCGGCTCCGCTTCAGTCCCAACCGATAATTGTCGCCGTAGCGCAAAAAGTAGTAGTGCGAGAGCAGGCGCTCCAACGGCTCGCGCAACAGGTTGATGTAGATTGGTGGCGCGTAGCCGAATCTGTAAAATGACGTCTTTCGAGTATTTCACACATGAAAAGCTACCTTTTTGGTCCAAATCTTTTATATTAATTGATCCTATTTTACTTGTTGATTTCAGTTGCTTAATTTTACTTCTGATATAACAAATTCCGTCTAAAAACCCACCTCTCAAAATCCACATAAGCCACATGACCGTGAATAAATATGGGCAACATCTCGTCCCATGTCGTCAAATTTCGGATAAAGCTTTCTTGGTCCGGCAGGCTCATTACCTAAATTCATCATTTTCATGTTTTCGGTTTCATAATATTTTAAGCCAAGAGCATAGAGCATCTGGTGAATTGTTTATTTTAACGTTATTACTCTATTTTTAAAAACGAAAATTTAGCTCAATAAGCGTTTTCCAGATTTACCGGCCGATTCTTCGTCATATTCAAATGTATCGTCGTAAACCCATTGATCTTTCCCATGTCGTACGCCACGGCATTTGTAAAGGTAGTACTTCCCGTTTTTGGGACCTAAAAAGATTCACCTTCTGAGTTTTTGATGAGCGATACTAGATTTCCTGGAATTCTGACTTACCCGGTTATAAATGACAATATTCCCGGGCCTTCTTGAGGCCCTAGCCACCGGCCCGTAATTTCCTGGCTGGCCATTTGCCGGAAGTTGCCCGAGTTTGTGGTTGACCCATAGAAATAATGTGATGATGGCGCAGAGGTTGATAATCAGCTGCTGGTTTCTGGTTAGGGAGATCATCTGCGCATCCTGAAACGAGAGAGAATCTATTTCAACGTAATTTAAGCTTTCAAATCAGCATAAAAAGAAGCGATTTTTGCTTAATGCCAACAAAGTAGCCTAATAAATTTAAAAATGCTAAATAGCACTTAATTAATACATTCAGCATTGATTATACTTTCGAAAAATCTGAAAACATTCAAAAAAATTTAAGCGTTAATGCTCAAAAATGGTTTTATGGGCCAGCGTTTATTAATGCTTCAGGTTTTCTAGTTTCAAATTCAAGCGTTATAATTAAATTTGAATAGGTATAACCGATTTTTGTTAAGGCCTGCTCGCACACATTTGGCGCTACTTTGTCGCTTGTTGGTCCCCACTTATATTTCGCCAAAACCTCATGTTTCCGAGCTAGTTTTTTGCGCTGATTACGAAAAACACTATCCCCAATCGTGAAAGTTGTGTTTTGAAGGGAACAACAAATTTCATTGTCAGTTTTCATGGTTTTAGTTTCAAGGGGTTAACTAGGGCGTTGTAGCGCGAGGCCTATAAAATGGAAAACCTAATTCCAAGAAGGCTTATCCCTTGCGCTCGTTTTTTCCTAAAAACAAGGCTTCGTGCCACCCGGGGCCTAGTCGCTTCGGATGGGTGCGAGCTCACAGGCAGGCCTGGGAATACGGCCCGGGCCGGCCTGCCAGCCTATTTTTCGGCCCGGCCTGTTCGGTTCGGGCCGGCCTGCAGCCACTATTGGCCACAGAGAGAGAGAGCAGGCCCGGGCCGGCCCGACATTTTGGGTACATTTTTACCAAACCAGTATATACCATCCTTTAATTTTTCCGGAGTCACAAAAACGTGTTAGATCAAGTTTGTTAATCGTCTATAGGCTTGCACAACCGATTTAGGTATACTATGTAACGAGAATTTATTCATAAAGCAGCATGCAACCAGTACATCTTTAGTTCAATAGAAAAAGTCTGTTTTACTTAGTGGAGTTCAATTTCTTTGACGCCCACGGGTAGTTTGAACGCTAATACACTTAATAAGGCTAACAAGGCATATTCCCAGCATTTCTGAACATTTCCGGCCAAAAAAAGCAAAAAAGCAAAAGATTGACTCGGCCGGGATCGAACCCGGGTCGTTTTCCTGATAAATCAAAGCGTTTCTCAAAACTCGGATTTTTTTACTTTTAACTGTTTAAACAGATGATTGAAGTTGAATATCAATGATGAAAACTTATAATGTAATTAAATTACCCCACGACCTTATATAACTTATTATAGCAGAGCGGGCCGGCCCGCCAACCTAAAATCCCGAAAAAATTCGGTCCTGGCCCGGCCCGGCCCGGGCCGGCCCGTCAGCTCCCAGGCCTGCTCACAGGGCTCGGAACGGGCGCCCGATAGCGCGCAGCGGCCAGGCGCCCCGATTTCGAAAGAAAGGAGCGGCAGCCCATCCGAAGGGACGTCGCCCGCCTTGCCTGACAATGCTACAAGCTTATTTTTTCTTGGTAAACCAGTTTTTGGTTATTTATTTAGTATTACTTGTAAAATACGAGTTTTTCGCAAGCGCCGTAAAATGGAATTTTCTCGATATTCAAATTTTCCTAAATAGCATTTTCGCGGGCTAGGATAGTGTTTTTCGTAATCAGCGCAAAAAACTAGCCCGGATACATGAGGTTTTGGCGAAATATAAGTGGGGCCAGCAAACTTAAGTAGCGCCCAATATTTTAAACTACACTCTCTAGACTTTGAAATAGCTAAATCTTATCCAAAACACCATTCTGACCCTTGAAAATCATCATTTTTACGTAATTAAGATCCCTTAAGGTTGGTTAGAAGAAAAAAGGCGTTTTAAAGTTGTTCCTAGCCCTAAGACGCCAGAAATTAGCCCACAATTCCCCTGGGTCTGCTCTTTTTGAAGCCCCCGCCAACCGATTAGGCCCTGAATTAGGCGGGTCCGGGAGGTCATAGCGTACCCCCGGGTTCCACTCCGGGACCCGCCCCGCTGTAACATACCCATCGCTAATACCCCGTGACCCGATCAACACACAACACCCGCATGTGTGTGCTCGATTTGTACTTTACCTGTGATAATCCGTGTTTTGGGGTTGACGTCCGTCTTTAGGCGTCATTTGGAGCTTAACGTACTGCAATTTTGGCTATTGACTACCCGGGAAAAGTGCGAGGCAACCCGGGCTTTGATAACCTTGACCTTCGCACGGAATCGAGCTTTGTTGTTTTATGGGGTAGATAAGA